GGCACAGGGCCGGAGTGAAACGGCGCTGACAGCGGGCTGGGACGGCCGCCTCACCGCGGGGGTGCAAAGCAGCGGCCCCCTCCGTCCCCTCCCTGCCCGGCTCCGACGCTTGGGCCTGGTTCAGCCTGGTTTCTTCTGGGTAGAGAGGCAAGAGCGAGCTTTAGAGGGAGGGGTGAGAAGTTGAACTCTGGAGAAAAGAAAAAAGAAAAAAAAAACAAAAAACCCCTTTGCTCAGGCAGAGGCAGTACCTCAGGGGGTTTGTTCTGACTGCACTTCACACAGTTGCTTTGTTACCTCTCAAAAGCAGATGTGTCCTCGGCCTGGCCCCCATGTTGGGTTTGGCCAGAAAAGCAACAGAAAGGCCGAACTCTTGTCAAGGCCTACAGCAGCCTCCCTAGAAGCAAGAAAAAGCTCATTTGAAATAACCCCAAATACATAACTCGCTTAGAAACTTACACCCACGTGGCAAGCTGAAAGGCCCGGCGCTTTCCCGCCTGGTGGTGGTGGGCCGTGGTGTGCAGCAGGATACACGAATGGCAGCACAGCAGTGCACAAATGCACTTGCGCCAACCCAAGCTGTGAGATTTCAGGCCTCAACGAGTCACCTGTGTCCAGACAAGCAGAAGCGCTTGGGCGGCTGCTTCTCCAGTGCGTGTGTGTTGGGTTTCCAGACTTTGCCCTTTATCTTGTTTGCTGGAGGTCTGCAGGAGGAACGGAGGGACGCAGCACCCCGTAAGGGAGCTTTGCTTGTCAGAGGATGGCCACTGGTGCAGCTTTGCTCCACTTGAGGAGGCCGGAGAGTTTAAAGGTAAGCGATGCTGCCCTGCAGAGTTCTGCTGACTACGGAGAACATTGCAGGTGATGTAGAGAGTCCTGCTATATGTGTGAAATAGACTTGAGTCTCTGGGACCTCAGATGGGAGATTCCCTGTGTGATTTGGCAGGGCACACCTGCCTACCTTTCATGAAGGAACTCCAGCTGGGTCAGAGACACCACATCTTTCCCTTGCAGCTGCCGCCAGATGGTCTCCAGGTAAATGTTCAAACCCTAAGCCCTTCCTTTCTCTTTCTCTGCCTGTAGGATTTGTTTGGCAGGATGTGAGGGGCTAGTGAGGGGAAAGGTGGTGCCCCCTTCCACTGGCTGTGCAGAGCTCCTGGTGGCTTCCATCTTGCTTTCTTTGCGCCCTAGAAACTCACTAGTGTCTTTGGGGCACCCATTTGCCCCTCGGAAAAGCCCCTTCTGTGACCTGCTGACAAAATGAATTCACATGTGCTATGCAGAAGCCTTCAGCTGTTGTCTCACTAAGTTACTAAATTCAAGGAATGTTACAGAAAAAACAGGTGTGGGGAAGAAAACCACAGCTTAACATAGTCCTTCCTGTACTATACAGACATTTAGCAGTTACAGAGGCAATTCAGGAGTTGAATGTGGAAGTTCATTATAATATTTCTGCAGCAAAGATGCTCTACAAGGCATTAAGTGACATAAGTGTTCTTATTATTAACATACTGTTTGTTCCTGTTACACCTTGCACTAAAAAGCCAGCCCTTTGGGGGAGTGGCTAGGAGACTGTATCTGTCATGGTTTAGGCTGAACCGGGCATGTGACAGATGCCCCCCCCTACCCCTCTTCAAAGAGAGAGGCAGAGGGAAAAAGAGACTTATGAGTTTAGAAGGAACTAAACTACTTTAATGAAATATTAATAATAAAATAA